GAAGTTGGTAGTACAAAATTGTTAATTTTAAATTATTGTTAGTTTTAAGTTCATCATCATCATTTCATCATTACAGCCTTTCATAAATCCACTACTGAACATAGGCCTCCCCCAAGGAATGCCACAAAGCACGGTCCTGAGCCACCTGTATCCATCGACTTCCTGCATGTCTTACCAGGTCGTCACTCCATCTCGTGGGGGGTCACCCTACACTTCGCCTACCGGTACGAGGCTGCCACTCAAGAACCTTTCTTCCCCATCAGTTGTCGGTTCTTCGAGCTATATGGCCGGCCCACTGCCACTTCAGCTTACTAATCCGTTGGGCTATGTCGGTCACTCTGGTTCTACTGTGGATATCCTCCTTTCTAAGTTTATCACGCAGAGAAACTCCGAGCATAGCCCTCTTCATAGCTCGCTGACCGACCTTGAGCTTCCTCATACGGCCAGCAGTGAAGGACCACGTCTCAGATCCGTAAGTCATCACTGGCAACACGCACTGGTTGTATAATTTCGTTTTAAGGTTTTGAGGAATGTCTGACGAGAAGATGTGTCGTAGTTTCCCGAACGCTGCCCAGCCGAGTTGAATCCGTAGATTGACCTCTCGGTCGAAGTTGGACTTACCTAGTCGGACTATTTGTTCCAGGTAAACATACTCGTCAACAACTTCGAGCTTAGTGCTCCCAACAACTACCGGCATAGGTGTAACATGGACATTGAACATGATTTTTGTTTTGTCCATGTTCATCTTAAGACCTATCCGTTGGGAGACACTATTGAGGTCATTGAGCATGGTGTTTAGATCCTTCAGCGATTCTGCCATAAGGACTATATCGTCGGCAAATCGAAGGTGAGTAATGTACTCGCCATTGATGTTAATACCATATCCTTTCCAGTCCAGAAGCTTGAAAACGTCTTCCAATGCAGCGGTGAAGAGTTTCGGGGATATAACATCACCCTGTCTTACACCTCTCTGCAATTGGATAGGATTCGTACTCTGGTTCTGTAGTCGGATAGCCATCGTAGCCCTATTGTACAAGCACTTCAGCACTTCGATATACCGACAGTCAACTTGGCACCGCTGAAGGTACTACAGCACCGCCCAAATTTCGACGGAATCAAAGGCTTTCTCATAGTCCACATACGCCAGGCATAGTGGCAAATTGTACTCCTCGGACTTCTGTACAACTTGCCGAAGGGTATGTATGTGGTCTATGGTGCTAAAGCCCTTTCGGAAACCGGCTTGTTCGGGAGGCTGGAAGTCGGCAAGTTTTCAGTTCACTTTTCGTTAATTTTCTACGAATATTTCATGCGTTACGTATAAAAGTACTTCAGATTTCTCATTTGATTAGTAGCATGGTAGCACGTCACCATCTGCATTGTTTTGAAAATTTGTTTACTGGTACTGGTATCCCTATTCCAAGCCGGCAGCCACAATTCACATTCACAACCACAATTCTTAATATCACTATGCCTACCAACCATTCTGTTATAGTTATCGCTATACATTCGGTACGCTTTTAAAATCTATTACTGTACACATCCCTGTTCATATGCATCCTCACGCTGGGAAGGTGGATTGGAGGTGGGTGTTGTAAAAGGCAACAGAAGCAATTGATACATGATGGGAAGCAGCATCTTCCTAATAAGAATTCAAAAATAATAATAAAAACTGCGGTATCCAACGCTCCTGCCAAGCGTGGGAACTGTAGCAAGGATGTAGGCAAAGATTGTCTTATTAACCAATCTTAGGGGGAGGCCTATTTTGATAGGCTGCTGATATGATGATGCTAATGATGGTGCGAATGTTCTGAATCTATGAATAAAATAATATACTATGAATATGAATCTATTTATGTGGCTATTTCACAAACTAACTAGAATGGGCTATTTCAGAAGTGGTGCTTAAATTAAGTGTTAAGAGTATAAAGAAATATGGCATAATGAAAGCCATTTTTGCTTTTATACTAGTTCAGAAAAGGCCTCTAGTTGAGAAAAACCAGCAAAAAATCTAGCGGGGCTTTTAATTATTTACACATTTAAATATTAACACATATAGAAACAGCTCAGCAGCGACCACCACTTTTCCATGGATTGTAAAATAATAAGTGTGTAGGTCTAAAACTTTTGAATTATTACACTTAAGACAGGGACTTTTCCCGATAAGTGGAAGGAAGCAAGAATAGTACCTGTTTATAAAGATGGGAAAAAGGAACTTGTATCTAATTATCGGCCTATATCAATTCTCTCTACCGTATCAAAGATTTTTGAATCACTTGTCCATCCATTTATATTCAATCATGTTAAAAACCACCTATCTCCATACCAGCATGGTTTTATGCCTAAGAAGTCTACTAATACTAATTTGCTAAATTATGTTTCCAATCTTATTGATTCAGTTGACAAAAACCTTCAAGTAGATGTAATATATACTGATTTCGCTAAAGCATTTGATAGGGTGGACCATAATACACTTGTTAAAAAACTCGAATATTTTGGCATTTCTAATACATTTTTAAGCTGGTGCAAATCCTATCTCTCTAATCGAAATGCCAAAGTAGTAATTGATGGCGAGTGTTCGGATTCTTTCAATGCTATTTCTGGAGTTCCGCAGGGATCAAATTTAGGGCCTTTATTCTTTGTTTTGTTTATTAATGATATAGTAAATGTATTTAAAAATTGTCAGGTTTATTTGTTCGCAGACGATTTAAAAATAGCTAAAGTTATAAAGCAAGAATCTGATGTAATAGACTTACAAGCGAATCTTGATAGACTTGTAAAATGGTGTGAAACAAATCGAATGCTGCTCAATCCAGACAAATGTAGTTTTATAAAATTCACAAGAAAAAAAAACCATTAATGAGTTTTTACAACATTTTGGGTAAAAAGCTGAAGGAAACTAATTCCATTAGAGACTTGGGCGTAATATTTGATAGCAAATTAAGATTCGATAAACATATAAATTCTATAGTGACTGCTTCTTTCAGGTTGCTCGGCTTTGTTCTTAGACAGTCTAAAGATTTTAAAAAGGTAACAATAATACTTCAACTGTACAACAGTTTGGTCCGTAGCAAACTTGAATATTGTTGTCAAGTATGGTCTCCCGCTTACAAAAACCACATTGAAAGAATCGAACATGTTCAAAAAAAGACTCATTAAACGCCTAATATTTCGTCTTAAGGCGTCAAGTCATGGTGAGTGCTACAAAGATAAACTCGATTACTTTAGGATGAAACCACTGCCAGTTCGTAGATCTCTTCTTGATTTAAAATTTCTTCATAAACTTTTCCACGGTAAAATTGATGACAGTGAGCTGTTGAGTAGATTTAATATTAATGTACCTCGGAGACCTCCTCGCAACCCATGTCCTTTCTTTAAGGCTGATAGCACTAGAACAAAACTTGGAAAGAATTCTCCAATAACACGTATATCACGTATATACAATGTATGTGTAAAAAACATAGCAACACTAGACATTGGTTGTGATGGGCTCACAATTTTTATGAAAAAATGTAATGATAGTTTGGAAAATTAATTAGTCACTAACTTTATGCTAAACTTAACTTTTATTTATGTTACAAAAATTATTATCTATCTTTTGTTCGTTAAACTTATTTTTGTTATTTTTGTTAAAACTACCATTAAAATAGGCAAATTATAAACACTGTTTTAGAAAGATGTGTTCTCCTATAATTGGTAGTACATAGTAATTTGTAGATGTAAGGCATGTATTAGAAGTAATACATTTATACATGTCATTTTCTAGTTCAGAATGAGGTCATTTTTATGATTGAAACATTAATATACCTATGTTTATTTAATAAAGTTTTAAGATTTGAATGTTTTATTTTATAATTATAGATTTTTCATTCATTTATATATAAATTTCTTCGTGTTTACTATTAATTTCTGATTGAAGGATAAAAAATTTACTTTGAATAAAAAGTAAAAACCGACTTCAAAGACCAAAAAGCATTCCCAAAAAATAAAAAGTATCAAGACGGTTTTATCCAATTACCAATTTGTAGCTGACCACAAATTTTCAATTCTCGTTTTGCTTAAAGAACATATAATTACAACGTACTATATACTCTCTTTGATTTGCCATCAAATCAAATTCTGTTTTGCTAACAGTTTTCTAATTTTTGATCAAGCTATTTGGCGGGAAATTTAATTTTGCAGCACTAAATGAGCATTAAATATACAGCATTTTTTTAGTGATTTTGCCCACATGACCATTCCACCTTTATAGACGTAGTTTTATCTTTTTAAATATGGTTAGATTGAATTGATTTTGTATTTGAAGCTCATGTGAAATAATAATAGTGTAAACGATGAAAAAAGTGCTCCGCTATTAACTTCTCAATATACTTTGTCCGCTTAGCACCTTAATAACTTGTTTACTGTTGTCATCGATTGTACGCTGGCTTAAGCTGTAGTTGAAAACTCCCAAAAACTACACAATGTGATTTATCAACGTATTGTGAGGATGTTTTTATACAAATTATTTACCTATTTTAAAGGATTATTTGTTATTCTTTGAATCTGGAAAAGTATAACCGTACGCGTCCACTCGACCACAACCAACGAAAAAAAGTTCTATGGTTTATGGTAATTATTGAGTTTGACCATAGACATAGCATCTCTATCTACGAGTTTGACACATCCACATTCCACAGACCACCAAAGGATTTTGTAACTGCACAGATTCACTTTACATTTACAATTCATATCACATTTGATTATTCCGATTCCGTACTAAATCCATTTCGGGACTTTATTTCAATGAATAACATACAAAGCTCATCAACCGGTGTTTTGGAGTTTTATTATTGATAAAACCTATCTATCTTAAACCTGCTGCCATTTGAGATCATTGTTAAAAAACATTATCACAAAAAGTATAAAAACTATTATAGGAAACGTTAGCATTCGGGGAAAATACGAAAGTTGGAGTACTTTTATTAGTGCTTGTGTAGCGAAATAATTACTCTACTTTTACAATGTCTGAAAGTTCACCAGACGACTCGATTCCTAAACGTAAAGATTTCATTTGTGGTGTCGTCGAAGGTAATGTTATTTTTACTTTTGGATAACAAATTCTATAATGGTCTCACAGTTATACATAAATATGTTTGAACTACGATAGTGTGAATGACTTAAGCTTATGTATTACAGGCTTTTACGGTCGTCCATGGACCACTGAACAAAGAAAAGACTTATTTCAAAAGTAAGTATAGTTATATTGTGAAAAGCTGTTATGAGTAATCTATCTCTCGTGATAACATTTTTTTTAAATACAACCCCATTAGTGTAACATTACTATTATTTTACACGGATTCTTAAACGCTAAATAATTTATATCCAATTCTTATCTCAAAAAGAATCTTTCTAAATCAGTGCTGCTTTGGTAGAAAGAATTTAAATGATGTGAAACATCTTCCGGCAATTTGACTTGTCTAAGAACTTATTTCAGTTTTAGTGAATTATAACATCAACAATAAACACTGCTTTAAGGTAAAAAAAAAATACTTATGAGGATTTCATCATTTTCATCAAGTCTAGTAGTCTAGGCTTCCCCCATAATATGTTGCATTGTAAGGGGGAATATTTACCATAATTGCCATGGTTGGTAAGCAGGTTGGCAATCACAGCTTTTTTTTACCAACTTCAAAAAGGAGACGGTACTCAATTCGACTGTATGTTTTTTTATGTGTGAAAAGTTATGAGGTAACTCATAACTTTTCACTGGGTGAACTAATTTTGATGATTCTTTTTTTATTTAAAAGCTGGTGCTTCACATGTGGTCCCATATAATTTGATCAAGGTGTGACCAATAGTTTTTGAGTTATTCTTAATAATTTATATTGAAGTTGGTTGTACAAAATTTTTAATTTTAAATTATAATATTATTAAGTTGGCATCTGATAGATGCTGCTGCCCATCTTCTATTCCGGTTTTTCTCTGTTGCCTTTTACTACCATTCATACATGCACTATCCCATTCTCTTAAGTCACTTAATGCTTATACTACATAGTATATACTTGAAGAAAAGATTACTTACTTAATTATACCAGTCTAAAAAAATTTTGTTAATATTGTATTATTTTCTATTTGACAATTCAAAATATTTTTTTTTAGAATAAAAGTGATAAACAAGCACACGGTCCATCTGATGGTAAGTGGATGACCATAAATATCTACATGTGTCTTTGATTAAGTATTGTTGCCACCCCTGAGGACTAAGATGGAATGCCCCGTTTCCTGTAAAAAGGCTCTCTGGCTCTCTACACTCACTATAGGAAACACAACAGCATCAAGCTGCTATTTTATACTGATTCTGTTACATTGTGGTACTTCCCCAGTCGAGATGACTACAAACAATATAGCTGCAGCAGGACTCTACCACATTTAAAATAATTAATGTGTATTTTCCTTGTAGGTTACTTAAAATATTGTGTTATTTTGATGCCTATATTTTATTGCTTGTTTTGTTTCTATTTTCTATTCCTATTTCTGTCTTATCAGGATAATAATGTTTACATTCAAATGCCAAACAAATTGTTCTTTATTTATATAATTATGTTGTTAGCATATCTACCAAGTGATATAGAAATATTGATTAGTGTTAATAATGTTTAGAAGCGTCAGTAGCCTAATGGCAGGGCACGGACCGCGAACTCGAAAGGTTGTGGGTTCCAATCCGCCATTCGACTACTGTCGTGAACCACTTCTAACACAAGCATTTTAAGCTTACCACAAGTGGTTAAAGGGATTATTAGTAATTTTTAATAGTATTACTAGTATTTTTTTACATAAAAAAAATTTGATACTTATAGATTAAAGAAATGGGGAATGGATATATATGTTTATGCACCCAAGGATGATTACAAGCATAGAGCTTACTGGCGTGAGTTGTACACGGTAGAAGAGGCGGAGCATCTTACGTCTCTGATAGCTGCTGCCAAGTTGCAAGGCATCACTTTCTGTTATGCACTCTCTCCGGGCCTTGATATTACTTACAGCAGTCAGAAGGAGATTACAACTTTGAAGAGAAAGCTAGAACAGGTATTCAGATAATTCATCTATATAAATAAAATGTTAGAGGTTTGCAGTTGTGCACGCATCATGGACAAACTACTGGATAGGTTTCAATTAGGTTTTCTAAGTTTTACTTCTCAGACCCTTGGCCCTTATCTAAAAAAGAAAAATATTGCGATATCTTCATTCAATATAAAGTTGTTGAAGTTTTAAGAAATAACAATTTTTATAAGCACTACGTGTTCAGTGATGTGTGTTTTCTTGATATATCAAGCAATGCGGATGTAGTCGCTGGTATCAGCTAGTTATTAATATTATTCCTTATTATTGTGAGCACAATACAGAAGAGAAATGTAATTTTGTGTTTTAAGGGTTATTAAAAGATATACAATCCACTACCATAGAGGTACATCCCATGATTGTTGTAAGAGTTGACATATGGAAATAAATCACGTCATGGCTAACCATGACCTGATAATAATATCAGGAATATGCTGAGAGCAGTAACATCTTAATAGTAACTACTGTTTTTATGTAAGTTTAAAAAAAATTATAGACAGGTCTTGTATTCTTTTATTGACTCCATAAATGTAACCTTTTTTTTTCTGACAATATGGCCCTTGGTATTGTGGTTATGTTACAATAATTCTGGTCTGGTCTTTGGTCTGTCACACCATGTCTTGAGGCTTCGCGATGGGAAAGGAGTTGGCGGTTATTAGGTGAAAATATGGCTAGAATCTGAATACAAATAAATACACAAGTTATAGACAACACAATACAGAACAAACATCTAGTTATACGAGGGGAGTAGCCTGGGCAGGGGATAGAGAATTAGGTTAAGCTAAAGTTAGTACACAATAATTAGAGTTTAATATTATACATCTGAATATATTTTGAGATCATATTGACATATATGAAGTCAGGGATAGTTAATGAAGATGGTCTGGAGAACCAATAAGTCCATAGTCTCTGCCTACTTCTCTAGGTGACAGGCGTGACATTTAACACTCACAGTTTTGTTGTAAAATGGTGATGAGTTAACAAAATTATTTCTTATAGTTTATGAGATAATTTTTTTTAATATAAAACTGAAGTTACAAATCAACTCGCACTCCACCTCATAGTAAACGACTCCTGCAGTACATTGTCTCCAGCCAACTTCAAACAAAGAAGGCTACAGGCTGCATTGTCACCTCTGAGAATTAAGATGGAACGTCTCATAGCTTGTAATTATACTGGCTCTCTTAACCCTTCCGACTAGAACACAGTACCACAAGCACTGGTGTTTGCTGACTCAAATCCGTAAGAGGGTGGTACCTATCCAAAAGAACTCCTAAGCAGAAAAAGACCATTGAAAAACAAAACCGAAACGGTTTGTTTCGGTTTTGTTTTTCGGATATAATATAGCCTAGATCAATCTCTTCTTATTACTTCTTTCTATTTATTTGCAAGGCTACATAAAAATCTGTTGAGCCATTCCGAAGATGAGACAAACAAAAATTTTAAAAATGCAAATAGCATGCTTAATTGAAGACTTATTTCGATGTTATAAACAGTCGTCTTTATTAATTTGTGTATTTGCCATCGGTCACTAATAAAAAATTAGATACACAATCCCATGCAAAAGTTCTCTAAAAACAGTTGCCAATTGTTTTGACGTAATTCTAGTTGAAATAAATATTCATTAATGTAAATTCCACCTTAAATGCATTGTCTAATGTTGTATTATGGTAGCTCAGATGGTTAGCGCTCGCTGTAAGCTTCACAGTACTCGAGCAACCCGGGTTCGATCCCCGCCGGCACCAATGAAATTGTTAATTGCAATTTTAAGTGCTGATTTACCACGTGCTCGGCGGTGAAGGAAAACATCGTGAGGAAACCTGCATGTTTGAGAAATAAAAAAAAAAAAAATTCGACGACATGTGAAGTCCGCCAACACGCATTGGGGCAGCGCGGTGGACATTTCCTTGCCCTAAAACCCTCTCAGAAATGAGAGGAGGCCTGTGCCCAGCAGTGGGACGTAAATAGGCTGCAACAACAACAATGTTGTATTTACAAAGTTACGTACAAATTAAAAGCGCACCCAAATGTGCTCATTTGGTAAGGACATTTTTTGTCACTGATTGCTAATGATTACCAATGGTATCGGGTTTTTTTATTAGTGATCAATGGTATTTGCAGATTATTTTGAACAAAACAATAAAATGCTGATGACATGACACATAAATATCTTTATTCTTATAACAGTATTTAAATTTTTTTTCAGGTGTCCCAATTTGGCTGCACATGTTTTGCGCTACTTTTTGATGACATTGAACCTGAGATGAGTGAGGCAGACAAACAGATCTTTCAGAGTTTTGCACATGCGCAAGTAAGATTTATTTTTGTGAACATAGTACTATAGCCTAGCACATATAAATAGGAATTAGCAGTAAAAGAGATGAAATACTCTGAATAGCAAGTGGCAACAGTGTTACAGGTGTAAGACATTTTGTACTACAATTGTCAATCATTCTGATAAGTGTGGTAAATAAGACAAATCCTTCCTTCAATGGAAGTGGCCCATATCCAGCTGTAGATGTGTATGGGCCGATGCTGATGATAATGTGTGAATGAGAATTTGCATATATTTTTAAACATAACATTAATCTAATATAAATCTTATTTATAGTATAACTTACCGTGTAGCGGCCATATCATACCGTGGGTGTCGTAAGAGGCAACAGAGGGAAACAAATAGGAGATGGGGAGCAGCATCTTCTTGATAATAATGCAATATAATATAAAAACTGCAGTTTCCAACCCACCAACCACAAGTGCAAACTATGGCGAAATTCCCCCTGTTGGCAATCTATGGGGGAGGCCTATGTTCAGCAGTGGACTTTTATAGGATGTAATGTTTTAATCTAAATCAAGTTTTAGCTTAAAACATTACAGTTTTATTAAGTAAATTTTCAGATGGGTATGTTTAAAAATTTACTTAATAAGACAGTGTTGGTCGCAATGTTATCTATTATCATAATTAATAGAATCAGGCGTTACTTTGTGGAACTCCATTATATTAAAGTTTTTAAAAAGTTACCTCGCGTACATCCGCTCGATAAAATAAAACGATGTGTCTTACCTAGTTTTAAGAGCACCTCCCGCCCTCCCTCAATTGCGTGCACTATCCCCATCACCCCTCTATGTAAACATAGCGGTAGGCCACCGCAGAGTCTACTTCACCTGAACATGCCTCGTGTAGAGGCGAAACACGTGTCGTATTGTCGTCAGTGGTGTGTCTTTCCTAGTGTAGAGGTGTTGGGAGTAGTGGTGTGGGATTAGTGGTGATGGGGATAGTGAAAGAATTGAAAAACAAGCACACAGCTATTCTTTATTATTTTAGGAATCAAAATTAAGATGTATGGGTGACAATACATCTTGACTAAATTAATAGAATCAAATTAATAGTGAGGACTAAAATGCCTCGTATCCAGTAAAAAGGGTATCCAGTTCTATATACTCACCATAGCATTAAGCTGCTATTTTACGCTGGTATTCTGTGAGAGTATGGTCCTTCCCCGGGTGTGCTACAACTATACTTTGGCTTCAGCATGGCTGTACCGTATAGAGCTATAGTGCATACATATAGCTAGAGCTTTTAAAATATTTGAAATAAAGTTACAGCCTATATACGTCCCACTGCTGGGTACAGGCCTCCTCTCATTTCTGAGAGGGGTTTAGGGCAAGGAAATGTCCGCCGCGCTGCCCCAATGCGTGCTGGTGAACTTCACACGTTTACGAAATAATTTTTTTCTTATTTCTCAGACATGCAGGTTTCTTCACGATATTTTCTTTAACCGCCGAGCAAGTGGTAAATTAGCACTTAAAGTTGCAATTAACAATTTCATTGGTGGTGAAATTTACAGCAAGTGCTAACCACTTGAGCTATCTCACTATTAACTTGGTAAGTAGTAGTAGACAAGGGCTGGCTTATAAAAGTAAAAGTTATTGGACTTTACAAAGCACTTTGAAAGTCTAGACAGCGAAACCGTCATTTCAACAAGTTCCTACTGAGGGAGACCATGTGAGGCAAGAAACTCACAAACTATGTCTATCCTCAATTAAAATTCAAAATGCGGATGCGTTGTCACCCCCAAGGACTAAGATGGAATGCCCCTTTTCTAATTAGAAGTGTTTCTGGATTACACCACTCACGAAACAAAGCATTATGCTGCTATTACATGCTGGTATACTGAGGAAGTGTGGCCCTTCCCTGCTCCCCTATCAAGCCAACCTATTCTTGCTGCAGCCATAATATGCTGCAACATATTGTGGCTGTAGTGTGTCTATGAATTCATCATCATCATTACAGCCTTTCATATGTCCACTGCTAAACATAGGCCTCCCCCAAGGAATGCCACAAAGCACGGTCCTGAGCCACCTGCATCCATCGACTACCTGCATGTCTTACCAGGTCGTCACTCCATCTCGTGGGGGATTGCCCTACACTTCGCCTACCGGTACGAGGCTGCCACTCGAGAACCTTTCTTCCCCATCGGTTGTCGGTTCTTCGAGCTATATCCTCGTAAGGCCCAGCGCGAAAATTAACTGCTTCTCATTTCAGCCCACGGTCCCCTTTATGGTACTTTTTTTTTATAGTGGTTCAGGCCCAGCACTAAATTTGTATTTTTTTTACAGTACGATAGTTTTATAGCAATATATGTTTAAGGGTGTATAATTTATGATATTTAGAAGCCCTGCACATATGTTTGGTTTCAATTGAATAAGTCCCACCTAAGGTACCATGGGTCGCAATGTAGTGTGGATTTTTTTTCGTTTACCAGTATTTGCATAAGTGAAATAAGCATGTTTTTGCATATTTTTTATTTATAATGATTTTACTTAATCAAAATAAAACAATAAATGTTATTTTTAAGTGAAACGTAATGTACTTTGCAAAGTATCTTCAACTTTTGAAAGTAAACAAGAATTAGAAATCTTTCATTTTAGTTATTTAAACTTTTTTAGGAAAAAATTGAACACTAGGCAGTCAATCAACTATCAGCCTAAAAACATTAATTCAAAAAATCTTTAAACTCTCTTCATATCAACTTAAACTTCAATCTCTTTATCTCTTAAAAAAACAATAGGACATCTTGGCATTAATAATAGTATAGTATAGAAAGTTCTTAAGCAACATCTAATAAAGGAATATCTAAACAAAAAAATTAAGGCTTACTTAAACAATAATCAAAACAAGGCACATTATAATCAGTCTTTATTAATAGTAAGTCTTAATAAATGAAATGTAATTTATCTTAAAATTATAAAATTAAAAAAGAAATTAGGAGTGGAAATCTTTGAAACAATTTCTTTCTTTTCGTAAACATAAATAGATGTTACACTTCGTGCATTTTACGGTGGTCTTCATTATATGGCAGTGTCTACATTTGTTTCGAGTATCCATCATTTGCGGCATATGTCGGGCTCCTCTGGTCCTTTTTTCAGGTGGAGGGAGGTCCACAGTTGCAGGTCTTCCTCCCTTTTTTTTTTGGTTTTTCATCTTTATCTGTTTCTGACTCTGTCTCTGTTTGAGTTTTAGATCCTGACGTTTCTGTGTATTTCTCAATCCAATTTTCTCCTAATTCCAGCTTGAAGTCACGAAGATGCTGTATTTTTTTAACAGGAATGCCCTCTGCGAGTTTATCTTTTTTATATAGAATCCAAGCATTAGAAGCAGCCAGGTCAATTAAATGTGAAAACACCCGTTGTGTCCACTTTTTGGTACGATAACGGTATGGACACATCGACAGCATTCGGTCTGCAAGGTCTACACCACCCATGTTGTGGTTATAGGATTGAACAACCTTGGGTCTTTCTATTTGAATATATCGTCGCTCTGATTTTTGCCATCTGGCACATGTATCTGTTGGGTCTTTAGCGTACATCGTTGATAACATAGTAACTCCTTTATTATCGTACCATTTTGTTATGGCCATATTTTCTGAAGTGTTCACCAATACTTGACATGAACCGCGACCTTCTCTTTTCATTTCACGGTCGTCTCTCTAGCTGCAATTGGGATCCTATTTTTCATTATCGTTCCGGTACATAGAATATCTCTTTCTTTCAGCTCTCGTGCAAGCCTCGGGGTCATAAAGTAACGGTCGAAGTAAAGTTTGTGACCAGCAGACAAAAAATCGTCAACTAAATTCAACACGGCTTTCTCCCCTAAACCAAGGGTAGTATTATCATATCGAGGATATGTTGTTACTCCTTGATATACATCAAAATTGCATACTAATCCATTGGCATTTGCCAAAACAAAAACTTTAAGACCAGTAGGATTTGGCTTTCCTGGCACGAATTGTTTTATGCCACATTGTCCTGTAAAAGGAATGATCATCTCATCAATGCACATATTTTGGTCTTTTTGTTGTAATTTGCATGTTTTTAGAATAGTATCTAACAGTGGTCGTATTTTCCAAACTTTATCTTTGTCACGTTGTTCACGTCCAACATCGTCATCGAAAATAAACTTGATCGAATTTCTTAACAGAAAAAAACGGTTCCGGGACATACTGCTTGCTACTATTGGGACTCTGTACTTTTTCTCCCAGTACATACGCAGTCTTGGTAATCCAATAGCACCCATAGCTAACGAGATGCCAATGTATATATACAGCTCTGACTCAGTCAAATTAAGACTCCTTCCAATATTTTTTACAAACGTTTGATTAGATTTCACTACAATTAAAGCAATCAACTCGTCATCCAAATATTGTTGAAAATAGTCCTGTTTGCTGTTAAATTGATTAGAATCAACTTCCATATATGCAGGCCGGAAAAATAGTATTTCTCGAGGAGGAAAATCAGAGGAAGTCCACGTGCGACGTTCGTGTAATTTTACATCCTTAGAAGAACCAGGCGCGTTAGAACCTCCACGACGACCTCTTGAAGAACGACAACGAGTAGATTTTCTCGACCCTCTACGACTTCTCGTAGAGGATCCACGAACGACACTTCTATTACGGGATGCAGAAAGATCTGACAAAGGAGTATCGTCGTCACTCGAGCTATCAGGTGACGTCGTACTTTCATTAGTCTCCGAAATTTCACGGAATGGTGCATTAAGTTCACATTGATTTTCTAAGTCACTATCTTCTCCAATTTCTGAATCACTGAGAGCAAGAACAATTTCATTCTCATTTAAACCTAAAACCAAAAAAAAACTAATGTTAGTGAATTTGTACATACAAAAAAATAAATACATACTGATCATAAAAACATGCAACTAAAATAGACCTTAGTACTTGAGGCCCGGAGTGGCACTAGCGGGACTATTTTTTTCGGACAGTCAGATTAACTACAAATACTGCTTTAAATATCAAATAAATAACTTGCAAAGAATAGTAATAAATGTTTTCTCAGTTTTAATCCAAAATTCTTCTGAAATACAGAGGATTACATTAATATAAGTGGATTTAACTAACCTCGACCTCGTGGAGTTGCCATCGTGCCAGTTCAAAGACAATGTGTCAATAGAACACAAAAAAATCAGCCAATCTCCGATCAGTAGTTGACAGCCATAGTTTTCGTTCAGAAATTTTTAGCAGTCACTTGTCAAAGGCGCCAAATTCGAAATCACTATGACGCAAAATTGAATAAGTCCCCTACACGACACCTTGGGTAGCTACGAGTATCTATATTTTTTTGGAGCTGGGCTTGAATGTCTATATTAATTAGTACCTTGGACGACCCCATGGGCCTTACGAGGATATGGCCGGCCCACTGCCACTTCAGCTTACTAATCCGTTGGGCTATGTCGGTTACTCTGGTTCTACTGCGGATATCCTCATTTCTAAGTCTATCACGCAGAGAAACCCCGAGCATAGCCCTCTCCATAACTCGCTGAGCGACCTTGAGCTTCCTCATACGGCCAGCAGTGAAGGACCATGTCTCAGATCCATAAGTCATCACTGGCAACACGCACAGGTTGTACAATTTCGTTTTAAGGTTTTGAGGTATGTCTGACGAGAAGATGTGTCGTAGTTTCCCGAACGCTGCCCAGCCGAGTTGAATCCGTCGATTGACCTCTCGATCGAAGTTGAACTTACCTAGTCGGACTATTTGTCCCAGGTAAACATACTCGTCAACAACTTCGAGCTTAGTGCTCCCAACTACTACCAGCATAGGTGTGACATGGACATTAAACATGACCTTTGTTTTGTCCATGTTCATCTTAAGACCTATCCGTTGGGAGAGACTATTGAGGTCATTGAGCATGGTGCTTAGATCCTCCAGCGATTCTGCCATAAGGACTATATCATCGGCAAATCGAAGGTGAGTGATGTACTCGCCATTGATGTTAATACCGTATCTTTTCCAGTCCAGAAGCTTGAAAATGTCTTCCAATGCAGCAGTGAAGAGTTTCGGGGATATAACATCACCCTGTCTTACACCTCTCTGCAATTGGATAGGTTTCGTACTCTGCTTCTGTACTCGGATAGCCATCGTATCCCTACTTTACAAGCACTTCAGCACTTCGATATACCGACAGTAAACTTGGCACCGCTGAAGGGACTGCAGCACCGCCCAAACTTCGACGGAATCAAAGGCTTTCTCATAGTCCACATACGCCAGACATAGTGGCAAATTGTACTCCTCGAACTTCTGTACAACTTGCCGAAGGGTATGTATGTGGTCATTGGGCTAAAGCCCTTTCGGAAACCGGCTTGTTCGGGAAGCTGGAAGTCGTCAAGTCTGCGCGCGGGACGATTCGTAATGACTCTCGAAAACAGCACGTAGACGCGGTTCAGAAGGGAAATCGGTCTGTAGTTCTTCAAGAGAGCGTTGTCACCTTTCTTGAAGAACAAGACACACACTTCTGCTCCACGCCTCCGGTGTAATGCCACCATGGAGGACGGAATTAAAGAGCTTCTGAAGGACTTCAAGTACCGGTTTTCCACCCGCTTTCAGAAGCTCCGCTGTAATTCCATCCTCGCCTGAGGACTTGCCGTTTTTAAGATGCTGGAGAGCCATTCTAATCTCGCTCAGACTGACGTCCGGGATAGCTTCGGAATAGTGTCGGATAAGACTCACTCTTGGATCGTTACTCACACTTGCGTGTGGCTCCAACGATGACGTGTACAGCTGCCCATAGAACCTCTCAATCTCACTCAAAATCTCAGGTGCCCCGGAAACGATGCTGCCACACTCAGTCTTCAGCTTTGACAGTTAGCTCTTTCTGGCAGAGAGATCTCTGGCAAAGATTTTAGAGCCTTGGTTCCGCTCGATCGCTTCTTCAATACAAGCTGTATTGAAGTTGCGTAAGTCCCGCCGTCTGTTCAGTTGCCTGTATGCTGTCAAATCTGTTGAAGAATGTAGCTTCATCTCCCGTCTAACAGCCATGAGATTGAGTGTGATCGGAGAGTTTTTGTGTTCTTCTGCGGCGGGTCTTGCAGAACTTAGCTCCAGGACAGTTTCCACGAGCTTGTCATTCATATCGTCCACTTCATTGCAGTCTTCTAGGCACTGAAAACGGTTTTGTAACTCGAGCTGAAAGGTTTCGGGACTTTGGAACACAGCACGAGGGGTACGGAGCGTTGACTTCATTAGACAAGACCTCTCCAACTTAACGTTTAGGTTCAATGTGCTTCTGACCATTCGGTGATCGCTACCAGTTTTCAACCTCGCGATCACGGAGACATCACTGAACAGTTGTCGTCTGGTCATCATAATGAAGTCAATCTCATTTTTTGTCGAACCGTCGGGGCTCGACCAGGTCCACTTCCTGTGGGGCCGCTTCTGGAAGAAAGAGTTCATCATATAGAGTCCTTCTTTCTCCATGAAGTCGGTCAGCTGCTGGCCCCTTGGGTTCCGTTGCCCAGTTCCCAATTTCCCTACTTTCAGCTCACCATTCTCTCTTGTGCCTAGTTTTGCATTGAAGTCTCCCATTAACACCGTATATTGGGTTTTGGAGGAATGCATGGCTCTAGAGATATCCTCATACATTTCCTCCACCTCCTCATCGGAGTGTGCCGAGGTTGGTGCGTATACCTGTATGACCTTCAGCGAATACCGTTTGGTGATTCTGAGTATAAGGTACGCAACCCTCGTCGACACACTCAATCTTTACAACGTTGTTAACGAGAGACTTGTGGACGATAAATCCGACACCTCCTTGGGACATCCCAGTGATATAGCAAGTTGCCGGATTCCATTACCGTGTCCTCCCCATCTCGTCGGGACTTCGTATAATCCCATAATATGCCAGCGTAACTTGTCTATCTCTTCTTCCAGCTCCACAATCTTCTCGTCAGTCCTCAGGGTGCGTGCGTTGTATGTTACCAGGTCGAGTCGTCTTAGTTGGCAACCGAACCAACGGAGATTCTTAGCACCCCCTGCCCCGCCGTTACCATGGTCGCCACCGTTGGCAGGAATAGCGGGGCCGCCGGGGACTGGGGGCCGTCTCTTTGTTACATTCATTCATAGGGGGGGTATTTGCCATAGTTGCCACGCTTGGCGAGCGGGTTGGCAACCGCAGTTTTTTTAATGTATTTTTGCTGTTATCAGGACGATGCTGCTGCCCATCTCCTGCCCGTTTCCCTATGTCGTCTTTTACGACACCCACGGGAAGATATAGGGTAGTGGATATTCTTAACCGCCACTACACGGCATGAATTACAATAATCAAATGTTTTTTACAATACACTGTTTTTTTTTTAGGTATCTGTAACCAATGAAATCCATCAACATCTGGGATGCCCACGTTTCCTGCTGTGCCCAACTCAGTATTGTTCTACTAGGGCTGTACCAACGGTCAATAGTTCCGAGTATCTTATAACACTTGGCAGTAAGCTGTCACAGCAGATTGACATTATGTGGACAGGTGAGCTTCCTAGATAATTTTATAACATCATTTGAAGTTTGTTTGGCAAAGGAGTGAAATAATTTGCCTGCATCTGTCTTTCTACAAATCAGGAGATGGCTAAAAATTAAAAACTGCAGTTTTTTTTTATAGGACAAGGGTGACAAACGAGCACACAGTCCACCTGATGGTAAGTGGTTGCTGTGGCCCATAGACATCTACATCTATCTTCGATTACGAATCAAATGCAGCATGCGTTGTCACCCATGAGGACTAAGATGGAATGCCTCGTTTCCAGTAGAAAGGGGTCTCCGGTTCTCTACACTCACCATACGAAACACAGCAGTGTTAAGCTGCTATTTTACGCTGGTATTCTGTGAGAGCGTGGTCCTTCCCCGGTCGAGCCGACCCATTCGTGATACAACTAAATTACTAATATAGCTGCAGCATGGCTCTACCACGTACAGTTGCCAACCCGCTTGCCAGACGTGGCAATTATGACAAATATCCTCCCTATGAGGCAATCTATGGGGGAGGCCTATGTTCAGCAGTGGACTCAAATAGGCTGTAATGGTTAATGATATTCAAGGCAAGAGTGAATAGGCTTATGTTAAACTAAGTCAGTGTGCTTTACCATCTTTAGTTGCATCACCATCAGGTGGGATAGTAGTTAAGCACTGGCTTATAATTTATTTATTTATTTATTTATTCTTTATTGCATTCCTTAAAACAAAAGAATACAAAGGGCGGACTTAATGCCTTGAGGCATTCTCTACCAGTCAACCCATGGAGTGGTGAGAATTTGACGTAGGTGCGACAATATAGAATAAAATAACAGTACACAAAATAATAATTAACTACATAATACATACAATTTACTAATAAATAAACTATACATATATGACGTATACAAACATATATACAAATATATACATACAAATATACATATTTAAATACATAACATATAATTAGTACATACAAATACCTATGAACATATGCGTCTGTTTAGCAATACATATCAAATGGATGAATCAAGTAAAATGCTTTGTCTTCAATAGATGGTTACGAACCAATTTTTTAAAAACATACTTGTTGGATGTTTTTCTGATGTCATCGGGCAAGGAGTTCCAAAGGCGTGTAGCCTGAACTGTGAAGGAGTTGCCATAGAACTCGGTGAAGTGAACAGGAATACAGATTTTGTTGTTAGAAGAAGAACGTAGGACCCTATCATGAGATGAGGAGAGATAGTGAAATTTACTCTTAAGATAAGAAGGCGAAGATGGGTCATTTAAAATGGAAAAAAGAACAAGCAATATTCTGGAATTGCGCCTCTGACGGATTGTAAGCCAATTTAGCTTAGATCTATATTGCGAAATATGGTCATACTTACGAAGCCCGAAAATAAATCGTATACAGTTGTTAAGAAGGCGTTCCAGTTTGTTCAGAAGATCTTGGGACAGATCTGGGTAACACACATCTGCATAATCAATTATGGGTAATATGAGCGAATGGACAAGCATGATTTTAGTTTTTGTGGGAAGAAAATGTTTTAGACGATACAGAGAGCGTAAAGTGGCAATGACTTTACGACTCACTTCTGAAACCTGGGTTCTCCAATTCAACGTGCTGTCGATATGTAGGCCAAGATTTTTAACAGAATTACTGAACGGAATTATAATACTATCATAATAAATAGGAGGTAAATCTGCCAGATTAATCTTAGCTAGCATTCTTGAGCTACCCACTAGTATAGCTTGGCATTTCAAAGGATTGACCAAAACTCCATAACGAGTAGACCAATCTTTGATAGCTGATAAGTTGTCGTTAAGTTTTTTGATCCCATTATGTATATCCTCAAATTCAGTTTGCACATAAAGCTGAAGGTCATCGGCGTACAAATGATACGAGCAGTCGAGGATGGAGGTAATAAAGTTTATGAAAATTGAAAATATTATAGGAGAAAGAATACCGCCTTGCGGCACACCAGCATCCACATCAGCCCAAGCTGAGGACATTTGCCCCACACAGACTGACTGCTGTCGACCGCGAAGATAAGATGCAAACCATTCCAAAGCAGTAGGACCAAAATTCAGGTGAGATAGTATGGAAAGGAGGATTTCATGATCAACTGTGTTGAAAGCATTTGAGAAATCAACTAGTACCAGTACTGTTATCTTTTTTTCTTCCATACCTTGTCTAATATTATCAGTAACATTAATTAAAGCAGTAGCGGTACTATGACCAGGGCGAAACCCAGACTGAAATATACTCAGTAGGTTATGTTTCGAAATAAAAGTAGAGATTTGCTTGTAAACACAGGATTCTAAAATTTTGGAAAGAAAGGGTAGAATAGATATTGGGCGAAAATGATTGGGAAGAATGGGAGTAGGAACTTTTGGGAGAGGCTTTATAAAAGCCCTCTTCCAAAGATTAGGGTACTGACATGAATCAAGGGAAAAATTGATGATATGGGTTATTGCAGGAAGAAGGTGCTCTAGTATAAATACTACCATATGTCTACTAATCTCATCATAACCCACCGCCTTGGATTGGATTGCTAAAATAGACTTTTTGACATCATCCTGAGAAACAGGAGAAAAATTAAAGGTAGGAATGTTAGGAGTTTGCATAGAAGCAATGGATGTCATAGTTTGGGAGCGAATTGTAGGGTCCAATGCTTTTACAGAAGCGAAATGTTGGTTGATTTCATCGAGTGATAGAGAAGGACCACAATCCAATGTAGCTGGCCTGCAAAGACCAAAAGATCTTAGAAATTTCCACACTACGGCTGGTGAAGAGTTATTAATACAATTATGGAAATATCGGCGTTTAGCTGCACGTACCATCTGATTACACCTATTCCTGGCTGCTTTAAAAGATAACCAATTTTCTTCAGTACGATCTCTCTTGAAACGAAGAAAAGCTCGATTTCGTCTAGACATTGCCAACCTTACGCCCTCCGTCATCCATGGGGCAGGCGGACGCTTCAATCTGACCTTATGAACTGGAGCATGAGCATCATAGAGGCTGAGAACATTGTGGTTAAGAATCAAGACTTTATCGTCAACAGTAGGTGCTGCAATTAAAGAGGCTAGATCGAGATTAAGAGCGTCATTCTTTAGCTTGTCAAAGTCTATTTTAGAAAAGCTGCGAAGATGCATTACAGTAGGTGAATATTTGGGTGGTTTAAGCTTATACGAAGCATAAATCAAGTCATGGCGTGAGATACCCAAAGCGGGTAACTGACCGTGCATCATCACACGTTCAGGAGAAGCAGCAAGGATTAAATCAATCAATGAGTCATTGGTTCCGATATTATGATGAGTAGCCTTTAAAGGGAGAATAGAAAGATTAACCGACTCAATAATTGAAAGAAGCTTTTTGGAACGAGGGCAGCTTTTCAACAAATCTGTATTAAAGTCACCCATGATTATACAGTGTGTATACTCAGAACAAATATCAGTGAGAGCCATATCTAAAGTGGCGAAGTAGTCAGTCGAAGGGGGGCAATACACTACCCCTAAAAGCATCCTGATGCCCTTGACATCGAGTTCCACAAATAAAAACTCAGAAGTAGCAGAATAGCAGGAAGGAGATGTTAGAACAACTTTGTGAGGAATTGATGCGTGTAGGTAGATGGCTACACCACCTCCACCTTTTCCAACACGATCATTTCTAACGAGTACAAAGCCAGGAAGGGGATATAAAGTTGAAGGTAAAGTAGGCTTCAGCCAACTTTCCGACACTAATATGGCATGAATATACTCGGGGAAAAATGAAGCTTCAAGTTCGGAATAGTGGCTCGGGATACTTTGAGCGTTAATATGGCATATGTTCAGAGAGTTGTTAGAAGATGTACAAACTCCTTTGAGTAGTTCACGTAAATTAAGAACGCTATCATTGAAAGAATCATCACAAGAGTGAAAAGATAAACTAGAAGATTCATTAGCAGAGCTAAACAACTCAACATCAGACATAGTTTATGGACTAAAATAAAAATAAATTAAATAAATATAAAAAAATTAAAATAAATACACAAAAAAAAATATTTAGGAATGTACACTTAAGACTAATTTATAAACTAACACTTACTAAACATAAACATCACCAACCCATCAGTTCACTGTTTACAGAGTAAACTTAATAAAATAAATTTTATATGCAAACATAGGATCTATAATATCTAGATCTAAGATATTCTTATCTAATAATAATGTTAATATTTCTAAGTAGGTGTCACACAAAATAGTACAAGAGAATATTTACCAAAAGAAAATCGATTAAGTGAAAGTAAAAAAAAAAAAAAAGAAAGAACGACATTGGCTGAATGACACATGTGTCCTTTGTCTATCAAAGGCTAAAAAAATGTTATTGTCAAAATCAAAACTCATAAAAATCAAATTGAAAATAATAATATGTGGTAGGTACATTTGCAAAACAAGTATTATTACCAATATATGTACCAAGCATAGTATAAACCAACCAAAGATAATGTAATGTAAATAATAAATAAAATATCTTTGAAACCAACCTATTGAGTAAGACACCTCAACTAAGAAACAAAAGAAAACTAAACGCAAGAAGTTGTATACTACATGATTAAAATCTTATTAAATATTAATATAGAAAAACAAAACATCATATGGAGATTATAATATTATTAGACAAAAAAAAAACTAACTTAAAGAAAAAGCAATAATACAGCTATTAAAAGGCAAACAACTTATGATTACAGACAATATTGTTCTGTGCTATAGACATAACAACCATGAAGATGCGAGTCTACAAATAATTAATATGTAAATTAATAATATAGAAAAAGAGAAAAAAAAACACGAGAATACGAGAATACATAATTAAAATAAAGGATACCTAGGAATATCATATGTGAAATTAAGCAGGCTATTTTTTGGCTACTAAACGACGGGACCTTTTAGGATCCTCTTTCTGCCCCACTATACCATCTTGATTGCGTCGAGAAATCTCAGACAGAATTTTTGTGCTTGAAGAACTATGCTGTG